ATATTTTGGTACAACGTCTTCTTACACGTTCTTGTAAGTCGGCAAACTTAATTACTACAAGTTTGCTAACTTATAAGAACTGTGGGGAGGTGCTGCCGAAATTTTTACAAAAATGAAATAATCTTAAGAGCGTAGATTGCACTATATGTATATTACAAACCTGAATGGGATAGGTTCTTTACCCTTTTAGTAATGGAGTGAGAAGGTGGATTAGGACACTTGCACATTTTTTTGTTTGTTTTTAAATTTTTTTTGTTAAATACTTCGTAGTGGAAGATGCCTGCCAACCGAAGTTGGATGAAGGCGCACCGGCGCTCTGCAGAGTTTCGAAGTGGCGTTGACGAGTTCGTTGCGGTAGCAACGAACCACGTGAACGCTGACGGATTAGCTCGATGCCCATGCATGCGGTGTTTGAATGTGAATTTCCACACACCTGCAACTATAAGGGTTCATTTATTTCTCAGCGGGATCCAACCTTCGTACAACCCCTGGTATTTCCACGGGGAGACTTTCTCTCAGCCCGCAGTTGAACTTCCTGAAAATGACGAAGAGGAAATGGCAGATGTGTTGGCGGACATGTTAAGAGGGGACCCTGGGTTTGACGAATCTGCTAACACTACTGATTCTTTCAATGAACCCCCTATCAACGACAACAACAAGTTGATGACTTGTTTAAGGAGATGGAGGCTGAGTTATATCCAGGTTGCAAAAAATCAGCCCTCAATGCACTGGTAAAGCTTATGCACTGCAAGGTTTTGAATAGGTGGAGTAACCACTCTTTCGATATGTTGCTGTCCATCTTGATTGATCTATTTCCAGAGGGGACAAAATTACCGAAGTCGCATTATGAGTCGAAGATGCGATTGCGCAATCTAGGTTTGGGTTACGACTCAATAGATGTGTGCAAGTATAATTGTGCTATTTTCTGGAAGGAGAATGAGAAGAAGGAGTTTTGCCCTGTATGTGGCGAATCACGATGGGTGAAAAGAAAGGGTAAGGGGAAAAAAGTTCCTCACAAAGTTATGCGTTACTTCCCACTCACACCTAGGCTGAAACGATTATATTGCTCAAGACACACTGCGGAGGATATGCGGTGGCATTACTCGCAGAGACCAAAAGAAGACGGTGTGCTTAGGCATCCTGCGGATGCTGAAGAATGGAAGCAGTTTGACCGCCTTCATCCGTCTTTTGCTGTTGAACCTAGAAATGTCAGACTGGGATTGGCGACTGACGGTTTTAATCCATTTGGCAACATGAGCAACTCTTACAGCCTGTGGCCAGTTATTTGTGTCCCATATAATTTGCCACCGTGGAAGTGTATGAGTTCTGAATCGTTGTTGTTGACCTTATTAATTCCAGGTCCATCATCTCCTGGGAAAGACATAGATGTATTCATGAGACCGTTAATTGATGAACTGAAACAGTTGTGGGAGACGGGTGTTGAAACCCGAGATGCCTACAACGGAACTGTGTTTTCAATGCGTGCGGCAGTGTTGTGGACAATAAATGACTTTCCTGCTTATGCTCTAATGTCTGGTTGGAGCACAAAAGGGTATATGGCGTGTCCCACTTGCAATGAACATACTCCTTCCATTGGCCTAAATAGTAAGATTGGATATGTTGGCCACAGACGTTTTCTCGAAATGAGTGATCCGAGAAGGAGAAGCAAAAAAGTACATGGTAAGACTGAGAAGAGAGCACCACCTCCTGTAATGACGGGAGATGATATTTTAACTCAATTAGACTAAATTCCATTGACTTTGCCTGGAAAACACAAACAGTTCGGGGGTGTGAAACGGAAGCGTTCTAGTGAAGAGCTCAATTGGTCTAAAAAAAAGTATTTTTTTTTGAGCTTCAGTACTGGAAGTCAAAGTCATTACGACATAATCTTAATGTAATGCACATTGAGAAAAATGTGTGTGACAGCTTAGTAGGTACTCTTCTAAGTATCGACGGGAAGTCAAAGGATACCGACAAGGCGAGAATGGATTTGCAAGACTTGCAAATACGACGAGAGTTGTGGTTGTATGAAGACCGGAAT